ATACACTTTTCTTAGGTTTTATTCTTTTTTGAAATTATTAATCAATTTTGTCCATCTTCGGCTTTTAGTTCTGGACCATAGATCATTCAAACAACCTCTATCCACCTACCACTTTTGGAGAATAACTCTCACTTTGCTTCAGCAACACATCTCATCATTTCATAAGCCATTTACATGGTACTTCCTTTTCTAGTATTGTCTATCGTGAATTATCTGTCTCTTGGCAATTTGGGAAATGAGTACCAAGCATCAAAGTTTTCGCACACCGACGCATCGTCCGGCACGCCTGTCATCGAACACAGTGAAATTTCTTCAGGTGTCGCTATGCGACTAAGAAATAGATGTTTGAGCTTGGTATAAAAAGGAAGAGCATTCGAAACTCCATAGAGACGACCTCTTTCGTAACAACATATGCTGTGTTTAGTTTCCCAGGTGTTTGTACGATTCTTCCTATACATGCTGAGACTTTTGTACCGCTACACCCTATCGTTAACCATATTATCATGCAGATGTGGCAGATCACTCGTAACGTTTTCGAACAGCAACCAATAATGCCTTGGTTTGGTCTTCATCTACTTCATCGTAACATACTTATGTTGTTTGGGCGACAGAGCTATCATAGTCGGCTAGGATTCTCCTGATGTTTCACACCATTCCACAAAACCGTCTTTTCCTTAGTAACTAAAGTGAGTAGTTTAGTTTGAGGCGATGCCCACTACTACCATATTCCTTCGTTGAATTTCAGAATAGAAATAGGTGCTAGCTTGATGTTCATCTCGTCTCCAACAATAGCTTTCGTTGCTATCGATTCCTGTTATAATGTGCGATCATCGTGAGATGGTCTATCTCTTTTGATTGACAAATAGATATTTCAGAACTATTTTTAGTATTACCTTAATTGCATTAGTGATGTTATTTTATATTTAAATATGTTATGTGTAACGTTATAAGTATTGTCATAAGTCCTGATTGTTATATAAATGGTAACAAGTACATTATTCAAGTAACCGCTTATGTTACGGTGTTACGACATGAGATATGGTGTCATAGTGATATAGTATATATTGAACAACAAACAGAGAAACATTAACTAAAAGACTTGCTGTGAAGCTTTGTGGTGGGAGATCAAACCATTTACCTCTCTCCCGGTAGTTATCACCACAGATAACTTGACAAAAGGGGTGCCCGTGGGCAACGAGGCAGGCGGCTGTCGTGGATTTGTCGTACCCAAAGAGTTATGAATATAAAAAAGTGCATCGAATTGTGGATTAACAAGAAGGCACAAGGCTAAGTGAAGCGTGAGACAAGACAGAGCTGCCACGTATAGGTATGTATAAGTAGGGCCCACGTTGTGGAGACAGTTAATGTGGACGTCATAATCGCAGGATACCTATGGCAGATATAGATTACAGATGTTAGATGCACACACCGATTTGACCAATTGGCTATAGTCATAGTCCTTAACGATCAAAATATCACAGACAATGCATGACAAATAGAACAGTTCAATGTAGAATGCGCTAGATAGTGTGAAGGGACAGAGTATTTTCCGCATAGTGATGTCTGCCTCTGGAAAGTTGGATGGCCAGTCTTCACGAGTATCATGCACTATCGTAGATTTCTTATTGGCTTCCTTACCTTCTGATCGTCGTTCGTGATTTCCCAATTCCAAAAATATCAGCTATGTGCTTTGCAATCACTGTTGAGCAACGCTATGTCAGTGGTCTGTCAAACAGGGCTGACTTATAGAGCCCGATACACGTGTTTCGATCTTGCGATGTCGTCAGTTGAGCAGTTACCCTTTCTCGTCTTTTGCTAATCTCTGTGGGTGCTCCAGTCCCCACACTAAGAGTTAGCGACGACGAACGCTTTACACTCTATGTCCAGTGAGAACTCACCAAACACAGAGTGCTGTACTCTCGATTGATCGTGGCTAGTATATTCAATATATTATAACATAAGTCAGCCCTGTTTGACAGACCACTGACATGTGTGGCTCAAAAATGATTGCAAGTCATATTGAATTTTAAGCTGTGGTCTTACGAAAACACTCGAAACGAATGTTATGATATATTGAATATACTAGCCACGATGCAATCGAGTGTACAACACTCTGTGTTTGATGAGTTTTTCACAGGACATAGAGTGTAAGGCGTTCGTTGTCGCTAACTCTTAGTGTGGGGACTGGAGCACCCACAGAGATTAGCAAAAGACGAGAAAGGGTAACTGCCCGACTGACGAGATCACAAAGTTGAAACACGTGTATCGGGCTCTATATGCCAGCCCTACTTGACAGACCACTAACATGCGTGGCTCAAAAATGATTGCAAGGCATATTGAATTTTGAGCTGTGGTCATAAGAAAACACTCGAAACGAATATCAGCTATGTCTGGCTCAAAAGGGCCCACAGATCATTTCTACGAGAACACTGGCCTTACTTAAACAACAAACGTGTGACATGCTGTATGTACGGAGATTCGGCTTTACAGACAACCGCCTTGAGCATGGATCTTTTGTAAGATTACTTGACACCTATCTCTTCCAATGGTGATAATACTGCATTTTTCTTGACATCGACGAATGCCCTTTTTCGGACGGTTAACGATCGAACAAAGATCGGGTGCTACTTAAGAAGGACCCCGACAGACCTTGCTGTCTCATCGTGATCATAATCAATTTCTGAGGCTTGGCTAATTAAGCTGATATGAACTAGGACACGGCCGTTACGCTTAAAGCGCATTGCAACGTGCAACCTCACCGGTGGATACAAAGCCCTCTACGAGCACTTTTGAAGCTGTCGATGAACGTGCAAGAGGTTCTTTCCTTCTAAAGTTATGTATGATCGTTTGCAGAAAATTGTCTCTGCTCATGGCTATCATCTCGAAAAAAGTAGGACGTGCTGATAATAGACAGTTAAAATGTATCAGACTCTCCGTGTTGACATGTATTTCAGGAAAAGCATTGGTAGTGGTTTCTTTTCAACACAGATTTTCGCATTCATCACAAGAGTTGTGATATGGGAAAACAACGGAGAGGTTGAGATATGATGGTAATTCGCTGGTTGTTCTCAGATTTAAAAACGGAATAATCTATTCTTGAAGGCCTGTGTAATATTCCTGACTGGCTTTTTTTGGCTACACTAGTAGCTTCACTATTTTGTGTTTGAGGTAGTTTTGCGAAGAATATTGTCGAATTGAGAGCTTGATTTTCGTGAGGTCATCTTTCAGCTTTGTTCTAGCACTGCCTCTTCAATAAAGCTGCCACCTACATTGACATCCAAGGTACGGAAGGCCTATGGCGCTATCCCCACTGATGTTCAGCAGCTCGTAGTGCCGAATGGTTAGTGGTTCCGCTCATTGGGACAAAGAGTGCTAACTCGATCTCCCTCCACTATGGTTCAAAGGGAATTGTTGCTGAAGAATAGTATTGAAAGTTCTTTGTTAGATATGATTTTAGAGAAAGAAAGCGTTCAGTTATCTTGCAAATCACCACATTTTGGTACGATACGTAGATCCGTGGAGTAACAACAGGACAAATACACAGATTTCGCAAAACTGAACCTATTAACATGTATACAAATCTTCCCAAGAAGTCGTGCACTGTAGAGAGCATGTCTTTGAATCCAACTCTAACATTATAATCGAATGAAGTGGAGAGTCTGTTTTATGAAATCCGGTTTGGAACTGTGTGTCTGCCAGATGTACATCAAAAGACGACAATCAAACAAAGCATTATGAGTAGATTTGATGGCACGCTTTTAGGCATAGCATTCAAATTGCTATTTTCTAAGCTATCGAGTGTCTATTGAGAGTCTGGTGAAAAGTCTGTCTTTTGAAAAAATTCTCTAAAATAACATACGTGAGAGAAGACACACACCGTACACAGACGGTTGAAAGTCTTGTGAACGGAATAAGTACTTTGAGATGGAACGCCTGACGAACGAACGCTTACATACTTGGGTGAAGACATTCACTAATACAGATCTATTCATAACTGTAGCAGAGCAAGAAAAAAGAATGAGGTACAAGTAGAAGTACAAGCAGGACACTATAAACACTTCACTGTTACGTCTTCAAAAGACCTTTTTTTTTGAATGTTGTAGAATACCGGTTAGAGCGCGTCTTCTTGCAACTACGAGAATATTCTAGTTGCAAAGTCCTTCAGGGTGTTTGCTGATGACTGACGAAGAGTGCTGGAGAAGCGGGGAAGAGGGGGCGGGGGGTGGAGGTGGGGGGTTCGCTCTCATGCGCGCAACGACGAGCATCACAACCACTTGGCTGCAGCGACTTCGTAAGCAGAACCACGGCTTCGCATCGTAAGTCAAACCGAACTAGCACAATGTGAGCAATGATGCAATACAGTTCAGTAAATCGAAGAGAAGCTGTCACTGAGAAGCTGTCATGAGTTTCGTTTTCTTCACAAGAACCATACTTTCCTCTACTGAACGGTCATTTGACACAGAGCGAAAAGAAGAACGAGTAACAAATATGTAGTATTTGGAGCATTCCATTCAAAACCTAAATAAACTAGCTTATACTATGTCTCTCCGTTAGAAACACCGAATTTGCAGGGCGTTCTACGAAAACTTGTGCACTGAACTGACGGGACGTCCTCTATTGAGCTGAATTGTCTGGTGGATAGCTTGGTGGTGTGACGAGGACGGAGAGATGTTATAGAGACGAGTGTCTAAGCGATTAAAACACCATAATTAGCATGAATTGCACAAGTAAACGTGTGATAACCTTGACCTCAACATTTATCTCCCACTAAAATACCAAAAGAATACATGATGTGATAGTATACATGGTTACTGATGGGAGTTCTCATGGCAATTTTACATAACGAAACAATTTGCAAATTTCACATAACAGAACATGACGAACAGTGAAAATATGTTTTGCTAAAAGCACGTTTGCCCGCTGCAACCAATCGTCCGCAGAAGAGCTTTTTAAGCAGCTTTATCCTCAAAGATAAACGCTCTTTCCCTTGGAGCTAAAAATGGCCTCAGCGGGAGTCGAACCCGCGTTTCATCCTCTTCGGGGACGTGTGCTTTACCACTACACCGTCGAGGCACATTTGCGTCATCACTCATTCTTCAATATCTCAATGTTAGCTATCAGCCACCAACCCTCAACAGGTTTAATCGTTTATGGGTTGCTTTATAAACCCAGTTGAGCTGATAGCCATTGTGATAACTAATATTCGAAATTTCTGCGAGGAATGTTTGAGTGAGAAAAAACTCCTTTTTTATTCTTTCAGGATAAAGCTTTTTGAGAATTGAGTAGTGAGCAAAAACACAGCCTCAGGCGCGAATTGAACCCACGTTTCATCCTATCCGGGCACGCGTGCTCTAACCACTACACACCGAGGCACATTTTGCCTGACCACTCATTATTCAACATCTCTATGTCAGCTATGAGCCACCAACCTTCAACAGGTGGTTAGAGCACGCGTCCCCGAATAGGATGAAACTCGGGTTCGACTTTCACCTGAGGGCGTGTTTTTGCTCACCACTCAGTTCTGTAAGTTATATAAGTAACATCATAACACTGCAAAATAAGCAGTAGAAATACTATAACTCAGGCTTCTTGAACAAAATACACCTTAATGAAGGTTCAGTGGCCTTGTTGATTTGATCTGCTCACCAAACCGTGTCTTGTAACGGACAAGAGCACAAAATTCAATTCCTTTATATGGGTTATACGAAACAACCCATAATATACATGTATCACTATAATAATAGTATAATAATAATATATACATGATTGCGACATACCGTTATGCGAACAGGTGCCTATTATATAGAGTGATGGTGTGTGGGGTCGCTGGTGATTATATATGGGCAGAATAACTTAACCAACGGTAGTGAGCCGAGCATAGCCTAAATGAGTTCGCTCCACCTCTGAAGCGCTATGTTCCGCTCAAAATTTCATTAAACTCATTTATCAATTATATGAACACAACCTTATGATAGCAATTAAGTACGCGACAACGAGATTGTGTGAAGAGAGCAGTAACGGATGGATTATGAATTGTGGTGAGGTGGTCCACGTGAAGCCATACGACAATACGGATGATGTCTGGCGATAGAACTAACTATGAAGGTTGCCGGCAGCTGGGTAATGCCCTCGCCACTCGGACCATTTTCTGTCTAAGGTCCTCGAACCTCATTTTAGCCATGGAAAGATGCTCTAACACTAAAAACGGCCAAAAAAAAGCCTTACAATGATTCAAAACAGGACACGGATGAAGACAAACTGCCGCATTTTCTTCATCCAAATATTCGAAACTTCTAGATAATCTAGTCAAAGCCAGGGCCTCATAGTGCACAGTACCAACAGGAGCAACAATACCTGTACCTTTCGGAGTTGTTAGCAAGTTGTGTGAACTTTGGTTTTCAGCACATTGTCGTCACAAAAAGTGAGATATCGGAGTGGAAATTCCAATAGATATCGCTAGTAAGAAGAAAGCCATGCATTCTAACAATCCGCAGATTATATTAGGAAAACAACATCCGTGGGAAAGTGTCATAACTTCAGCTCCTTTGGGGCAACCCTCTCGCTATTCTACCAAAATGCGACAGCCTTTTCCAACTCATCATCCTCCAGGTTACCTTAGATAAATTTATTTTAAAATCAATCCTCATATATCGCACATGTGCTATTCGTATAAGCCATCTGGTTCCTAACACCTGAGTTTTAATTTCTTAGCAAACCTCTTATCGTCATCGAAATGTGGAGCTGGATTCTAGGCGGCAAACCGTTCCTTGACCACTCACCGATTTCCTTCATTAGTGTTTTTTGATGTACCTTAGTACATTGCAGTACGATACTGAGTAGAATTTAAAAATTATCCTCTTTGTCAAAGCCTGGAAAAGTCAATTTCGCCCGCAATTCACTAAGTCAACCACTTGTGAAGGCGCTCAAGAGTGAATGTTGAGTGACAATGTTGAACAAACGACAAAGTGAAAGAACATTCAATAGTTTCTATAAAAGAGCCTGTGCCTTCTATTGCAAAGTTGTTCCGTAATTGACCCCTTTTCGAATATGAGAACTATAACTAATCTGTCGAAATCGACAGAATCTGCGTATCCAAGCGATGAAAGTGGAGGATGATAACCATAGCAAGCAGTACGGCAAACAAGGTGAGCAAATTCGTGGCGACAGTTACAAAAATCTGCGCGTAACTGCACTGATATTGATTTGAGAGGACAAAACTTGAAGGAGTTACAGCGAATGACATTGCGCGTAAATAATTTGGAAAAATACGGAGAATAGGCAAAATAAGCTGACACGTGCGGTGGCAAAACCCACAACTATGAATAGTTTTCATTATGAAGCAAAACTGGATAAACAAAAAGGCAATACCCAAAGAACGATAGGAGAAGGAATGTTTAGTTATTATATAGGCCTCAACTAGTAAATTACACAAATAGTAAAGACTATTGAAAGTTATCAATGAGCAGGTATCGCATGCAGTATGCATATTAATCAAAGAATATCACAACAAAAATTTTTTGTCTCGATCTTTCTTTGTCTTATGAAAACTCCAGACGCCACCATAATGTATAAAAATTGAAATATAATGACTAATTTGTCAAAATTGATGATATATGCCGGATTGGTAAGCCATGAGCGAGAAGTTGAATGGCTCACCTTGTGTACGACGCAGAGCACCTCTAACCACTGCGACAATTTTCCTTTACATGTGTATATATATATATATATTTGTATATATATGCATATATATGCATATGTATACATGTATATACATATATATGCATATATATATATACTTATTTGTACGTTTTTTGTTTGAGGAAAAACACTGGTATGTTGTGCAATCATACTGAATTTGGCATTCAATCAATTGTGTTGAATTGTACACAGGATATCTCAACAAAAATTCCAGTTTTGATCTCCATTTGTTTTACATAATACCCTAGAGCCATCACAGAGAATCAAATTTGAAAACAATGAGCAATTTGTCATAAATGATGATACGTGCTGCCTGCGATAACACTTTCGATATCTGTCGATAATTTTTAATTACTGGCTTACTTCAGGATTCAAGACCTAAATAGAACTATAGAGCACATTTTCTTCAATCGTTTCATAGGTAGCTGGTTTTTCTACATCGATTACTATTTTTATTGCAAACATTGTAAGTTGTTAAAATCTGTGCCATTTCCCATACTCATTTATTTTGCGTATTCTACGTTTTTTTTAAAAGGCCTTCGAGGTGATATCCTTTTGCTCCTTCGGATTTCAACCTCTCAAAAAACTTCAGTGTGACCACGTCCAGGTAGTTTTGGCCGTCCTTCAGTGAATCACAGACCTCGTCCGTCCAGCTGCTTCTCATGAGTACTTTCTTTCACTTCCATCACTTGCATACATAGACTGTCGTTTTCACGAAATATTCTTAGCTCATATATGCAAAGATGAGTTGAATAATGTTGCGTTACGGAAGACTTTGTGCCAAAAGTCCAAGCTCATCAAAAAAAAAAACAAACTAGTGGGTATCGCCTATATCTAGTTTGCTCATTGTTGCTCTCGGCAGTTACGCCTTCAGGGTGCGCCTTCGGAGGTGGTCGAACAGAGAAATTGCGAGTTCATTTGACTTTCATAATTTTCAAAAAAAAAACAATGCCTCGAAATCTACGGTCAATACTGTGATGCATTATGCATAATCATGTCAAAATGGATACTGACGGAGAGATAATTGGTGAATGGCCAAAGAAGTTATCGCTGCTTAGAGTTCTGTCCTACTTTTCGATGACGATGGGAACGGTTCAAGGAAACGTATAGCTTAGGCGCAAAATAACAGCTGACTTCTACAAACTGCTCATGTACGACATTCGTGAGTTCCTTGTAGAAAGGCACATCAATGGCCACTGGTCAAATGATCAAAGGAAAGGACGGTGCCATTCTTTCAAGATACGACTAGAGAGCGCGAAAAAAGTTTGAGATATCTTCATTTTCAGAGGATGTTGTTTTCCTAATGAAACTAACATAATGTTAGCTTCCTAGAATTAGCCATAGAAGTCTTTGCGGCATGCCATTTCTCGTGACGTTGAAGTGCTTCGAGCATTTCTAGTTCAATATATAATTGTCAACAATGTCCGTCGCAAAGTTTAAACAACTGACTGACTACCTCAAAAGCTAAGCGTGTTTTTCTTCTCGTTAATACAGTGTAATAATAAGGCCTACTTGTGAGTAGCAAATCCATAACATCAGTGAAAGTTTAGATAATTTGGACAGAGAAAATGCACTTTTGGCGAAGAAGTACTTCACAAAGATGAATGAGAACCAGAGTTATTAGAACATAAATCTATCAAGGTTCACCTCCGGCTATGCACTAGGAAACCTTTCGTATGATTTTCGTTACAAAGTCAGAGTTCATATAAAATTTACGCCTGTTCTTACGATATCGTCGAAAGCAATATGAAAATGATCTGAAATGTGTTGTTATCCGAAAGAAGAAGCTTTCGTATTAGAGGACAAGTGGACGTTATTTTCAATGAAAATTTGCTTGTAAAAGCTTCTTCAGTACTAATTCATCTTCTCGTGGCAATAAAGTTCCCTCAGAAATACAATTAAAGTACATAACTATCAAAAAAGCTCTCGGTGACGTTCGAACAACGCGCTAATTACACCAACACTAAGAGGTTATTTGCTTTTGGTTAGTAGCATATATTACGACAATATTTCTGCAAATTAGTTTTTTTCGGAATTTCACATTTTCTAAGCTATCAGATTAGTGCAAAAAAACAGATACAGTGAGAAAAAAATCTTCAACAACAGTCGGAAATGAGCTTCTTGAATGGATAAGGTTTCCCATGAAACGTAGGAAATTTGACTCTCGAATGGTCTTTCTATCAAAAAAAAAACTCCCCAAAAGTTTTCTTTGTGTTATTTCATCTTCCTATAGAGATAAAGTGCCTCTAGCACTTGAACTTCACTTAAAAGTACCAATAATTCCATGCAAAGTTCGAGCAGAGGGACAAGTACCTAAAGTCCCAAATGTAATCTGCCTTTCGTTGCACTGCTCTGAGAAAATCTTTTGAAAAACCAATTGCAGCGTCGAAATTGCCAAAATTCGGACCAATGATTGACCAGTGAGGTTTTGGTAAAAAGCTGATTACAGACGCCAGCCGAGCAAGCAAAGTAAGTTGAGTATAGAGCCTGATTTTATTTTCGTCGGCGTAGTAAAAAGGCCTTTTCAAAAATTGAGAAAGGCTTCTAAGCAATCGTATGCCTGAGGTGGTACACGTCCTTCCGAACAGATTGATTCAGGCTAATGAAATGAACTTCGTAACGGTAGCGTCATCTTAATATGTGCTTTGAAAGTAGTGTTGAGGATTTAGACCCG